GAAAACACCTGTGGATGTCACCGAGCAGCAATCAAGCATAATAAGCACCAATTAGGCAGCTTTAAAATGACTGTGATACTCAGCTCCTTCTAGACATTTACTGGTGTGGTTACAAAACACATGGTGAAGGCAAGAGAATGGTCCAGGAAGACAAGAGAAGAGGTGATTTCTCTTCACAGGAAGGGCAATGGCTATAAGAAGATTGCAAAGATGTTAAACATACCAAGAGACACCTTAGGAAGCATCATTCGCAAATTCAAGGCAAAGGGCACTGTTGAAACGCTACCTGGTCGTGGCAGAAAGAAGATGCTGACTTCGACTGCTGTGCGCTACCTGAAGCGTAGAGTGGAGAGAAGTCCCCGTGTGACTGCTGAGGAACTGAGAAAAGATTTGTCAGATGTGGGTACAGAAGTTTCAGCCCAGACAATAAGACGCACACTGCGTAATGAAGGCCTCCGTGCCAGAACTCCCAGGCGTACCCCCTTGCTGTCTCCAAAGAATAAGAAGAGTCGACTGCAGTATGCCAAAAGCCATGTGGACAAACCACAAAAGTTGTGGGATAGTGTTCTGTGGACTGATGAAACAAAATTAGAACTGTTTGGGCCCATGGATCAACGCTATGTTTGGAGGAGGAAGAACAAGGCCTATGATGAAAAGAACACCTTGCCTACTGTGAAGCATGGTGGAGGGTCAATCATGCTTTGGGGCTGTTTTGCTTCTGCAGGTACAGGGAAGCTTCAGCGTGTGCAAGGTACCATGAATTCTCTTCAGTACCAGGGAGATATTGGATGGAAACGTGATGCAGTCCGTCACACACCTGAGGCTTGGGAGACGTTGGACCTTTCAACAGGACAATGATCCCAAGCATACCTCCAAGTCCACTAGAGCATGGTTGCAGAGGAAAAGGCTGGAACATTTTGGAGTGGCCATCGCAGTCACCAGACTTAAATCCGATTGAGAACCTCTGGTGGGACTTAAAGAAAGCAGTTGCAGTGCGCAAGCCTAAGAATGTGACTGAACTGGAGGCCTTTGCCCATGAAGAATGGGCGAAGATACCCGTAGATCGCTGCAAGACACTTGTGTAATTTTGGTCACAACTGTATATATATATATATATATAAATAATCCTTCAATAAAAATACCAACAGATATACCTGGAAAGGTGTGTGTATATATATATATATATATATATATATATATAAAAATTTGCCTGTCCCCAGGAATATGAAGGCCGGGGGGACAGATCTGTACAAGTCTCTTCGACCTCTTGTGATCACATCTGGGTCTCTCTGTTCTATAAACAATGACGAGCTATACAGGCAGCCGGCAGATTACACGTGTAACCAACAGCCAATCAGCATCTTCCACATGAGGATACGTCACCCCTAAAGCACACAGCTGTCATAAAGGCCCCCTACACCCAAAACAGTTTAGCTGCCCTCACTACTGCCTGACTGAAAAATAAACTAAGAGAAGCAACACACGTGTGCAGCATCCTCCCAGTGATCCCATTGGTGGGCGATCTCATGCCTTGCTGAATACAGTTTGCCCCTGGTGATTTCCCATATCATGTGCAGCCTCTGCAGGGAGTACAGATGTGACTTTGTTACATGGGTTAGTATTGAACATAACATTAGGTTTGTGCAGAACTACAAGTCCCAGTATGCCAAATATAAAACCATAGATCTCAGACACACCGGGGCTCAGGGTCACCATACACATTACAATCCAGCTGTACAATCAACTTTAGATGTACCAAAAATATACATTGCTCAAAAAATGAAAGGAACACTTTGAAAACACATCAGATCTCAATGGGGACAAATCTGCTGGATCTCTATACTGACATGGACGGGGTGATGTGTTAGGATTGTAAGGATGCCCCATCGTTCGATGGAAATGGAAATCAAAGTGAAGAAATGATGCAGCAGGTGAGTCAGTTTTACTGAAATTTCATTGAAGCAACTCAGAATGGTCCTCAGTAGTTTGTATGGCCTCCTCGTGCTTGTATGCATGCCTGACAACATTGGAGCATGCTCCTAATGAGACAACGGATGGTGTCCTGGGGGATTTCCTCCCAGATCTGGACCATCACTGAGCTCCTGGACATTCTGAGGTGCAACCTGGCGGCATCGGATGGACCGAAACATGAAATCTCAGAGATGTTCTATTGGATTTAGGACAGGAGAGCATAGGTGCCATTCAATGGTATCAATTCCTTCATCCTCCAGAAACTGCCTGCATACTCTCCCCACATGAGGCCGGGCATTGTTGTGCACCAGGAGGAACCCAGGACCCACTGCACCAGTATAGGGTCTGATAATGGGTCCAAGGATTTCATCCCGATACCTAATGGCAGTCAGGGTGCCATTGTCTAGCCTGTAGAGGTCTGTACATCCCTCCATGGATATGCCTCCCCAGACCATCACTGACCCACCACCAAAACAGTCATGCTGAACAATGTTACAGGCAGCAGAACGTTCTCCACGGCTTCTCCAGACCCTTTCATGTCTGTCACATGTGCTCAGGGTGAACCTGCTCTCATCTGTGAAAAGCACAGGGCGCCAGTGGTGGACCTGCCAATTCTGGTGTTCAATGGTGAATGCAAATTGAGCTCTATGATGCCGGGAGTGAACACAGGGCCCACTAGAGGATGTCGGGCCCTCAGGCCACCCTCATGAAGTCTGTTTCTGATTGTTTGGTCAGAGACATTCACACCAGTGGCCTGCTGGAGGTCATTTTGTAGGACTCTGGCAGTGCTCATCCTGTTCCTCCTTGTACAAAGGAGCAGATACCGGTCTTTCTGATGGGTTAAGGACCTTCTATGGCCCTGTCCAGCTCTCCTAGAGGAACGGCCTGTCTCCTGGAATCTCCTCCATGCTCTTGAGACTTGGGAGACACAGCAAACCTTCTGGCAATGGCATGTATTGATGTGCCATCCTGGAGGAGTTGAACTGCCTGTGCAACCTCTGTAGGGTCCAGGTATCACCTCATGCTACCAGTAGTGACACTGACCCTAGCCAAATGCAAAACTAGAGAAAAACAGAAAAGATGAGTAGGGAAAAAAATGTCAGTGGCCTCCACCAGTAAAACCTGTTTTGGGGGTCATCTCATTGTTGCCCATCTAGTGCACCTGTTAATTTCATTAACACCAAAGCAGCTGAAACTGATTAACAACCCCCTCTGCTACTTAACTGACCAGATCAATATCCCTGGAGTTTCATCGACTTGATGCTAGCCTTGGATTAAAAAAAGTGTTCCATTCATTTTTTTGGAGCAGTGTGTGTGTAATAGGAGGACATACCTAATGTATCCAATCAGGCCGGCCCTTGTAATACATAGTTGTCTTAGATTGTAAGCTCCCAGGATCAGGCCCTCCTATCCCTCTTGTACTGAACTGTATTGTTGCTGTATTGTCTCCCGTTATATTGTAAAGCGCTGAGCAAACTGCTGGCACTATATAAATCCTGTATAATAATAATAAATTGGGAGATCCAAAGGAGATTGTACAATCAGATTGTAAGGTGTGTGCTGAGCTTTAGAAGGCACACGGAGCAGTTTCACTGAACAGGCGACATCTAAATCTCTGTATCTCCGATGGATCTGCTTCCGCCGTCACCTCCTCCTGAAAATGCCAATTGCTTGGCTGCCTCTGGCAGGACTTTGTAATCAGATTAAAGCTAGAATCTCACATTTGTTCCCGATCGGTGACATATCAGGAGTTCAAAGGATCTGCATGACAGCCAGGCACCCAGCATTTTTCAGCATCAGTGGCCCATCTATTACCATAGGTTCACACCTAAGCAGTCCAGTCCATTGAACATGATTTCCTATGGGACACGTTCACATCTCTGCGTTTTCACCCGCTGTGGTTTTTGGAAAGGATCAGGGACTTTTTTTAACGCAAAAAGTTGTGTTTTTGGTTCTCTAGACTTCAATGGGAAGGCTGCAGTAAAGCATGTAGTGCGTTTTTGTTGCATTTTTTATGCGTTTTGCGTTTTTAAATCTGCCTAGCAACAAGAGAAAAAAATTTAAAAAAACAAAAATGCAAAACGCAACTCAAACCACAATGCAGAAAACGGGTCAAACGCAACCTGTATAGGTGTGAACCTAGCCTTAAAGACAGGACCGCACACAATCAGTGACATAGAAGGCAGTGGAAGCTGGAGGATCAGCATAGCAGCCAGGTAACCGGCATTTTCAGAAGGAAATTGTCCGTTAGTTGTTCCTGTTCCGTGACTTAGTAGGCAGTTCAGCTGGAGGATCAGCATGGCAGCCAGGTAACTGGCATTCTCAGAAGGAACCCGTACGTTGGTTGTTCCTGATCAGTGACTTAGTAGGCAGTGAAGCTGGAGGATCAGCATGACAGCCAGGTAACTGGCATTTTCATAAGGAACCTGTCCGTTAGTTGTTCCTGATCAGTGACTTAGTAGGCAGTGAAACTGGAGGATCAGCATGGCAGTCAGGTAACTGGCATTTTCAGAAGGAACACGTACGTTACTTGTTCCTGATCAGCGACTTAGTAGGCAGTGGAAGCTGGAGGATCAGCATGGCAGCCAGATAACTGGAATTTTCATAAGGAACCTGTACGTTAGTTCCTGATCAGTGACATAGAAGGCAGTGGAAGCTGAACGATCAGCATGGCAGCCAGGCAACTGATATTTTCAGAAGGAACCCGTACGTGAGTTGTTCCTGATCAGTGACTTAGTAGGCAGTGAAGGTGGAGGATCAGCATGGCAGCCAGGCAACTGACATTTTCCAGAATCAACAGCACTCACTGATTGTACTAATTCAACTTTAAAAAAAACTATCTCCCAGTCTGTGTTGGGTGTAGCAATATGGCGCCCCATTCCTTTTTTGAGGCTCAACATGGCTGCTGATGTGATCCGAGCTAATCGTCGCCTGGCTCAGGTGTAATATAAGCAGAGTGCCGGAGATACAAGAGAACTTTGTCTTTGTTTATTGATCTGGGGTACCCAAACTCTTCCTGTTTCTGCAGATCCGGCAGTGCGGCGGACAGCCCCGGCTGGGGTCCTTTCTCGGTGCCGTCTCGCTGGGAGTGTATGAGGTCCCCGGTGGAGAGAGATGTGCGGCTGGAGGTGCCGGTGACAACTGGAGGAGAGATGGAGACAGGAGGAGTGCTGGGGCCCGGGGGACTGAGGCTGCTCGCCTGCTTCCTGGGGGTGTTTGTCTGCTACTTCTACTATGGAATCCTACAGGAGACCATGTGAGTGGGTTGGGGCTCCCCCCCCCCGAGCCGGGTATTGGGTTACCCCTCCTGTGTACTGTGTGTGTCTAGGGTTACCCCATGTGAGCATGTGAGGGGGGCAGCCTGGGCTATATATAGACACACTGGGCCTGCCAGGAATCACTGGGGGAGGGGGGCACTTGTCCAGTCTGCAACCACACTGCTGCCTTTTATATTTTATTTTAATATCACATTTTACATATTCACTATAGATATTTAATATGATTGCATTTATTATTGCTATATGTAATATTATTTAATTTTTTTTATTCATAATTTTGTAATGAAAAAACTTTTTTCTTTTTATTTCATATTTTATATATATTACATTTTTTCATTTTCATATTTTATATTCTATTTATTTAATTTTATATATTCTATTATATATATATATATATATATATATATACACTCTTTTCATATTTTATATTCTATTTATTTAATTTCATATTTTATATTATTATATATATATATATAGTATACTTTTTTTTTTACATTTTCATATTTTATACTCTATCTATTTTATATGTTCTATTATTAATCATTTTTATATTCTTTTTTTTTTTTTTTTTCATTTTCATATTTTATTTATATTTTACATATTCTATTATTATATAGTTAACAAAATGAGATTAGCAGCACTCCCTTTAAGAGACTGCTTCTAATCTCAGCTTGTTACCTGTATGAAAGACACCTGGTAGCCAGAAATCCTGCTGAATGATAGGAGATCAAATACTTATTTCCCTCATGAACATGGAAATCAGTGCATCATTTGTTAGACATGCATTTCTTTAGAATTTTTTGTTGCTATTCTGTCTCTCAGTGTTACAATACACCGAACATTCGATTTTTAGACTGATCATTTCTTGTGTGTGTCAAAATTTTTAATAGTATTTAGACAAAATATGAATCTCATCTTTCTTATATATTACAAACATTTTGATTTGCATACAATTTCCATGAAACATCAAAAGCACATTAAAATGTATTTAATATATTGTTAATATTTTTTTTTTTATATTTTGTATATTGTTTTTATTATTTTATTATAATTGTTTTTATTTATGATTATTATTTTATTTAATATTTTATAATTTTTTATTATGATTATTTTTAATTTCATATTTTGTACTGTCCATTCACATCAGTCCATGCCCTCAAGGAGCTTGCAATCTAAGGTCCCTATCATACACATGCTTGGGACATTTTTTTTTTTTTTTTGGGCGGAAACCCACGCGACATGCAAACTCCATGCAAATAGTGTCCTGGCTGGGAATCGGAACAGAGAGCCCGATTGCTCACAAATAATTTTGTGATATCCATTTTTTTTTAAAGGGCTTAGACCACCTTTTTGCAAAAAAAAAAAAAAATGTATAAAATAAATCCTGTACATGTGATTGTGTGTGTATATACTCCAATCAGCCATTACATAACCACCCGCAAGTGAATCACATTGAATATCTTGTTCCAGTGGCACCTGACAGTGGGCGGGATATATTCGGCAGCAAGTGAACATGTTGTCCCTAAAGTTTAATGTGTTAAAAGCAGGAAAAAATGGGGAGCGTAAGGATTTGAGCGACTTTGACATGAGCCAGACTGTAATGCCTAGATGATTGAGTCAGCACAACTCCAGAACTGCCGTTCGCTCTGTTACCCGTCTGCAGTGGTCAGGACGTACCAGAGGTGGTATGTAACTATCACACGGAAAAAACTGTTAGAGGGGCATCTTGGTGAACACAATGTACAGGGATATGGGAATTATTGATATAAACACACATTCCACACCCACTCAAGTTGAACTGGATGGACCGGGGTGTCTGTATTTAACCGTACCGACTATGTAACTACAGGAAAAACTGGTGACAGGGTCAGGGCGGCCAAGGCTCATTGATGAACATGGGGGGGGGGGGGGGCTTGGGGGGTAGGGTATCCATGCTGACCCATGTCTACAGCCAAAAGCACCTACAACAGGCACAGGAGCATCAGAACTGTACCACGGAGCAATGGTAGAAGGTGGCCTGCTCTGGTGAATTGAAGAATGGGTTGAGGAACACAACAAGTTTGAAGTGTTGACTTGGCCTCCAAATTCTCCAGATCTCACTCCAAATCGAGCATCTGTGGGAAAACAAGTCTGATCCATGGAGGCCCCACCTCGCACCTTACAGGGCATGAAGGATCTGCTACTCATGACTAGTGCAGCATACCTTCCAAGGTCCAGTGTAGACCATGCCTTGACGGCTTCTGGTGGGTGGTCAGAATGTGATGGCTGATCGGTGTATGATATCGTCCCTAACGTTTTTGCAATGCAGCAACCGATATAGTGGGGAAAAGGAAGGGAGGCTTAAAGCAATCCAGTTGTTGTGTCCGGGATGGGGGAAGCACAGGTTTGCTGTAATCACTTTGTAGAGAATATTACATTGTATATCAGCATTAAGTGTGTGACATCAGTTTGTTGGGCTTTTGTTTTGTAGAACGCGGGGGACGTATGGAGAGGGGGAGAACAAGGAGAAATTCCGCTTTGCACTTTCTCTGGTTTTTGTTCAGTGTATTGTCAATGCCGTATTTGCCAAACTATGTAAGTACAATCCTGTGTTGTATACGTGACGTTATGTACAGTGTAGATTTATTATCTGTATTATGTACAGTGTAGATTTATTATCTATATTATGTACAGTGTAGATTTATTATCTATATTATGTACAGTGTATATTATGTACAGTGTAGATTTATTATCTATATTATGTACAGTGTAGATTTATTATCCGTATTATGTACAGTGTAGATTTATTATCTGTATTATGTACAGTGTAGATTTATTATCCGTATTATGTACAGTGTAGATTTATTATCTGTATTATGTACAGTGTAGATTTATGTATCAGTGTATATTATGTACAGTGTATATTATGTACAGTGTAGATTTATTATCTGTATTATGTACAGTGTAGATTTATTATCGATATTATGTACAGTGTAGATTTTATACATTGTGCATAATATAGATAATAAATATACACTGTACATAATATAGATAATAAACCGTGTACATAATGTATAAAATATACACTGTACATAATGTAGATAACAAATATAAACTATGTAAACTGTTTTTTATCTATATTTTGCAAAATGTATAAAAACTACACTGTACATAATGTAGATAACAAATATAAACTATGTACACTGTTTATTATCTATATTATGCACAGTGTTTATTTATTATCTACATTATGCACAGTGTATATTTATTATGTACAGTGTAGATTTTATACATTTTGCAAAATATAGATAATAAATATACACTGTGCATAATATAGATAATAAACAGTGTACATAGTTTATATTTGTTATCTACATTATGTACAGTGTATATTTTTTATACATTATGTACACGGTTTATTATCTATATTATGTACAGTGTATATTTTATACATTATGTACACTGTTTATTATCTACATTATGTACAGTGTATATTTTTGTTATGCAGTGTATATTTATTATCTACATCATGCACAGTGTATATTTATTATGCAGTGTATATTTATTATCTACATCATGCACAGTGTATATTTATTATGCAGTGTATATTTATTATGCAGTGTATATTATCTACATCATGCACAGTGTATATTTATTATGCAGTGTATATTTATTATGCAGTGTATATTATCTACATCATGCACAGTGTATATTTATTATCTACATTATGCACAGTGTATATTTATCCACTTAGGGACCGCCTACCACAGTTTTACTGCAGCAGAGCAGCCCCGCTACGCTGGATCACTTACATGTACATGATCCAACACTTCTGGATAGGGGGCGCATGCACGCACCTGCCGCCCCCAGCTGTGCTGTCATTCGCCACAGGCACAAGCTGATCAATGCTTTTCACTATATCTGATCTCCTCCAGTACACACAACATGGAAATGCAATTATTTTAGTAAATATAAACTGCTAAATACCTTTTCTCATCAGCAGTATATAGCAGTCTTGCGACTTCTATCAGTGTCCAGCAGAGCACTGGTTAAAGCTTGTAGGAGGAGTTTTCATTCTGCTGTAGGTGGATGCAGAACCCCTGACCTCTGTCTCGGCAGTGTTGATTGGCCCTGTGCTGATCATACACTCTCCCAAGAAAAAACAAAAAACAAACCTCTCTAGCAATACACACTAAACTGAGCATGTGCAGAGTGTCTCCACACCATATGCCTTATCAGGAGATAAGAGGGAGACACTGGAAGAAGGGGAGGATCAAAGAAGTCAGGATCAAACCGCATTTTTACACAATGCAGAGGATTAACCCCTTAGGTTCCACAGTGAGTGTAACCAGCATGCTTCACTGCATATAAAGACTGTACTGTTGTGGGTTTAGTAACACTTTTAACCCCTTCACGCTGGCGCCTTCCGGCCCTTTAAGAGTTTCAGGAGGTGGGGCGGAGTTTAGGGTCATGTGTCACATGATCCGGAAAGGTCCCGATCGAAAGAGGAGATCGGGACCTTTCCATGAGTACCGGACGTATGCTGGGAGCGTGCAGGGCGCGCGCTCTCAGCACAGATGTCCTTTTTTTAATAGAACGCAATGTGTGGCTGCTCAGCATCTAGGCCCAGACGCCGGGAGGCCACACATTTGCGTTCGGCCGGCGTGAAGAGGTTAACCTATGTATGAGTAATTAAAACCCAGCATGGGTGTTAGAACCTCTGTCAGGTTTTAGTGAGACTGGCCCTAACAATAACTTGTGTAGTGCCTAATCTAGAAGTTTTATAACTAATACTAGGTTCCTATTTGCTGTCATTGATTATAGAGGGTCTTGCTCCTATGGAAACGTGTGTTTTGGGAATAACTGTCCAATTGTCATGCTTTGTCTTCGTGTGATTGTCATGCTCTGATTTATTTAAAATCTAGTGCTACGGAAACATAGAGGGGGTACTTGCCTACCCAGGGTGGTATCCACCAATCAGGTTACAGTGTCTACTGCTGGTTACATTATGCAGTCCTATGGATTAGGCACATCCTTCATGTTGAATATCTGTGTTTCTTTCCAGTGATCCGATTTTTTGATTCAAAGGGAAAACCAGACCGCACACAGAGCTGGCTCTATGCGGTTTGTTCACTATCTTACGTAGGGGCCATGGTGTCCAGTAATTCAGCACTCCTGTATGTCAACTACCCCACGCAGGTGAGTCTTTAACTATTGAGGAATTTAGAAATAAAGGAAGCCATATATGTTGGGCTGAATTCAGTTTGGTCAAAGTTTTTAGTTTTTATACTTTTTTTTGTTTTGTATTTAGGGCCGGTTCACACCACAGGCAGTCCAGTGCATTTTTTTTTTTCTGCATCAAAAGACGCATTGGTTAATAGGGTATATGGTTTCCAATGACATAGTTCACACCAGTGCGGTCAGGTCCAGAAAAAAAAGTAGAACATGCTGCTTTTTTTTTCTGCACTGAACTGTACTGGAACGAGGTAAAACGCACCAGTAGGCACATGTCCCTATTTAAGGTGAAGAAAAAAGGGGAAAAACGCACCTGTACGCATAAAAAGCGTGTCAAAATATGCGCATGGTGTGAACCGGCCCCTTATAGTGGTTGTAAAACTCAGACATGAAATATGAACAAAGCATATCCCTCTATAGTGGTTATTTTGTCTCAATTAAAGTAAAACTATAGGCAAAACCTTTTTTTTTTCTCTTCATTTTGGATAGAGAAATGGAGGATTGTAACTCCTGTTGATTTTTATTTTATTTTTTTCACTTTGGATAGAGAAAGGGAGGATTGTAACTCCTGTTGATGATTTTTATTTTTCATTTTGGATAGAGAAAGGGAGGATTGTAACTCCTGTTGATTATTTTTATTTTTCATTTTTTTTTTCACTTTGGATAGAGAAAGGGAGGATTGTAACTCCTGTTGATTTTTATTTTATTTTTTTCACTTTGGATAGAGAAAGGGAGGATTGTAACTCCTGTTGATGATTTTTATTTTTCATTTTGGATAGAGAAAGGGAGGATTGTAACTCCTGTTGATTATTTTTATTTTTTTCATTTTTTTTTTTCACTTTGGATAGAGAAAGGGAGGATTGTAACTCCTGTTGGTTTTTTTTTTTTTTTTTTTTTTTTTTTGTGTCTAAATTGTGGAAATTTCCCTTTACTTCCTGTCCCATAGTCAAACAGGAAGTGAGGTAAAATCTCTGCAAATTAAGAGAATCCCTTGGGGACCCCCAGGTCAGCAGAGCTAGTGTCCCCCTTTTCTGGGGACAACCCAAAATTTGGGATTTTCTTTCACTTTCAATGATGATGGTAAACAGGACAAATAGAGAGGGTGAAGCTCCCTAATGGGAGGGGGCAAAATGCATGAAAAACTGAGAAGAGTTCTAATCCCTCTCCACTCTATCCAAAAGTAAAAAAAATATTTTGCCTTTAGATATACTTTAAGATCACAAATCATCATTTCTGTCTGCTGCTTCTTTCCTCTGCTATCGGCATGAATCAGGTCTCACAAGTTTTCCTGACACCATGAGAAAAATGGTGACGGGGAGGGCCTTTCAGCAGATTGACAGCCTCAGCATTGTTCCTGTGTGTTGAGGGGGGGGGGGGGGGTGTGTCTTCACTTCAGTCAACTGTCAGACCGCTCCTGCAGTGTGCAGTAACTCAAGCTTTTTTTTCTGAACTCTCAGACAAGCTTTTAAATTGTGGACTTTGAACAGATGTAGAAAAGGCTGCAGATAAACAGGTACAACGTATGTATGAGAACTTGTTTCATCTCTGTATCACTGGAGGCCAGTCACTGGGTATATGTAAGGGCACATTTGTGCCACAGCTATCTGCATATAATAGCCTAGGGTCGCTGTTTCGAATCCCAACCATGGCACCGCCTGCTTGGAGTTTGCATGTTCTCCCTGTGCCTGCGCGAGTTTCCTCCTGGTACTCCAGTTTCCTCCCACAGTCCAAAGACATGCTAGTAGGTTAATTGGCTCCTGTCTAAATTGGCCCTAGTATGTGTATGTATGAATGTGAGTTAGGGACCTAAAGTAGGCCATAGACGGGTCGAACATCGGCCAATTTAAAAAAAAAAAAAAGAAAAATCGGTAGTTCCATCAGCCAACGTTACCACCAGCGTTAAAAAAAATCGGCTGATTTTCGACCCGTCTATGGCCGGCATTATCCCCATAACTTCTGTCCCTTGCAGAGACAGGGGAGCACATCATACAATGTGACAGCAATACAAATACATTATTTGGATTACAATGTTTTTATTTGGATACAAATGGATACATTTGTTGCAACCGCAAGACTTTTTCATATAAAAATATATTGGCAGACTGGACTTTCAGTTCATAGGAAGGATTCGGGTGTCTCCCATTCCTATGAAAGATTCACTTTAGCAAAATAAAATTTCTTCTTCTCCTTCTTCTTGGCTCATGCGCAGATTTTTTTATCGGTAAAATGATCGGCCGATTTTCCCATCATTGCCGGGAAAATCAGCCGATCGTCAAAATCGACCGTGAATTTTCCAACATGACCGATAAAACAAAAATGTGCCAAAACCCCGAAAAACTAATTCCTAAAACTGTATGTATATCTTGGATAATTAAGTTAATAAATACGTTTTTACTATGGGTTGGGTTTAGGATTACCCAACCTACTAACAGCATCACCTGTCACATACCATTCTGTGTATTTAAATGTGGTCATCAGTTGTTGGTTGCATGTGATTTTAACCCCTTCATGCCGGCGCCTCCTGGCCCTTTAAGAGTTTCAGAAGCCGGGAGGAGGGCTGGGGTTTAGGGTCATGTGACGCGCCGTAACGGTGGTCACTTGATCGGGAAAGGTCCCGATCGAAAGAGGAGATCGGGACCTTTCCGTGAGTACCGGACATGTGGGCTGGGAGCACGCAGGGCGCGCACTCTCGGCACATATGTCCTTTTTTAATAGAGCGCAAATGTGCGGCCCGCTCGGTGTCTAGGCCCAGACGCCGGGAGGTCGTACATTTGCGTGCGGCCGGCGTCAAGAGGTTAAAGAAAACCAATCGTTAACCTCCCTGGCGGTATTCCCGAGCGTGGCTTGGGGTAAAGTTTCAGTACCAGAAGCGGTAACCCCGAGCTACACTCTTGAATACCCTTCTGCACTTACCTTGTCCTTCGCTCCCGCGATGTCCCTCCTGCAGTGTCCCCGGCCATCTCCTCCGGCTGGTGCCGGCATCTGTCTTCTGATTTCCGTCCCCTGTGACATCGGGACTTACAGGGACGGAAATCGGCGGGAAATTTAAAAATGTTAAAAAGTGACATTCACTAAATACACTAAAATCACATAGTAAAACATTAGTGTATCAAACCATTTCACATACATTTTGTCCCGAGTGCTTTGTCCGGCGCCCTGCCTGCATTTTTACTGTTCTTTCTGCCTGGAAACTGAGAAACGTCCATGGCGTCCAAAAAGCGTCCCTTTAGGTCAAAAGCGGTTTTTAGACCGGCTAGAGAACAGCGATAGTAAATCAGAACCACTTGCAGAATTGAGTGATAATGATTCGTGGGGGAAATTCGTCATCAGACACTGAAAACGATTTTGCGACTAAGATCAGTGATGTGCGAACTTGGCGCTCTATTTCAAATTTCAGTGTTTTTGGTTTGATTATATTATTGAATTAAATTTATTATAATATTTTTTATGATTATTTATTAAATTATAATTTATGATTTCGGGTTTCAAATTTTATCATACCCGGGATGTTTACTAGACTCTTGTTTGACAGATTTCAGTGAGTTATTCCTAAAAATGACAGGCCGACAATAAAAAAAAATACATATTTCCATGCAAAAAAATGTACCGCTTTGAGCACAGAAATACTGACATAATCAGACCACTAGGGAGGCTACGGGCAGAAACAGAGGACTATCCGTATACCATAGACTGGTAAACATGTTTGTTGCATGAACGAGTTCCTGTGGCATTGCAGCAGCCTATGTATAGGAATATGTAGGTGTCTGTTTTTGGATTTTTTTTATTCCTTGGATGTGATGTTTCCACTAAAATTTTTTTTTTTTTTTTTTTTTTTTTTTTTTTTTTTGCAGGTGTTGGGGAAATCATGTAAACCTATTCCAGGTGAGATGATCGGCTTCCTCTCTCTCTCAACTCAGAGGTTTTTTTTTTCCCCATTATGGGCAAATGCCGCTTGATTTTAGGTGCATTCAAGCTGCATTTGAAATTTAGTCACTTCTAAGATCATTCAGAGTTTATTGACAAGTACATTTCATCTCCTTCTGAGCTATAAATACAATTTCATTAGCCTTTAAGGCAGAACTATACCACACTACACTCGCCTCCAGCGCTGCAGCATCCACAAGCTGGTGCGACTCTTTCTAGGCGAAGGCTCTTTATAGGCAGGTAAGAATCCTTTTTTTCAGATGAAACAGATGAGGGAATTCAGTAAATTCCTTGAGACATTTTTTTCTGGTGCTGTGGCCCTTTAAAATGGCTTGCACCAGATTCAAAAACTCCTTCTGGCTGTTTTGGTAACTTTACCAACACACGTGGCAGATTCAGATTCAAGGCAGATTTTACAGATTAATGCGCTCAATTAAAAAAATAATTACCATCAGTTTGAAACTGAAAGTTGGCGTACAGAGACAGTGGTGTCTACACTGTGTAGAAAACCTAGTAATCAGTGAAACGTGGCAGATTCAGATTCTTAATAATGCCACTTTAACACAGCGGTTCTATTAATGTGCTCAATTGAAAAAAAAAAAAATTACCCCCAATTCAAAGATAATAAAACTCAAAGTTGGCGTACAGAGACAGGTAGAGTGTCTTCTCTGTACACTGTGTAGAAAACCTAGCAACCAGTGATACGTTTCAGATTCAGATTCTTAATAATGCCACTTTTAACACAGTGGTTCTATTAAATGCGCTCAAATTAAAAAAAAAAAATTGCACTCCAATTCAAAGATAATTAAACTGAAAGTTGGCGTACAGAGACAGGTAGAATGTCTTCTCTGTACACTGTGTAGAAAACCTGCTAGAAACCAGTGATACGTGGCAGATTCAGATTCTTAATAATGCCACTTTAACACAGTGGTGCTATTAATGCACTCAATTAACAAAATTAATTACCTTCAGTTCAAAGATAATGAAACTGAAATTGGCATACAGAGACAGGCAGAGTGTCTGTTTCTGTAGGCTGTGTAGAAATACCTCCTAGCAACCAGTGATACTGTGAACGGAGCCTGATGGGGAAGCTGAGACACTAGTTCTCATCCAGTGGGTGTATTCTGGCTGTCTATTGGCTAAGGATCTGATCACTCCCTGCTGTCAATCACAAAGGAAGCAGACTTGATGGGTAACTAGTATTTGTGAATCCCCACCAGGCTCCGCCTACCCAGCTCTAAAACTCCCCCGCTGCTACTTTGCCGGTGTAAAAGCTGCAAGGGCAGGAGCGTCTGCAGTGTCCTTATGGGCAATGATGTTAGTGCACCTCCACATGTGGTGCATACCTCAGATTCATGTACCCATTTACAACAAGTACATGGATCTGTTGCCCACGCCGATATATTGTCATGTGGAGGCACCTCGAAATTGGGAAGCGTTTCTTACACTCTGTGAATTTCCCTAACTCTTCTGTAATGAAAACCCTGCCTGTCCACATTCTTTTGTTATATTTTCTGCAAAGTGCCACTATATTTGCCTCGGCTCCAGTGATGCATCATCCTGCTGCCCCCCGCCCGGCCTCTGACATATTCGGGTGGCCGGCTTCCAAGTCTTGATCGTCGACCGCTGTCATTGGCAGAGGGGAATGACGTCACTCCCGCGCATGCGTGGGAGTGCGGTCAGATTTGGCTTTGCTGAATTTGTACAGTGAACTGCTCAGGGCCATGGATAAGGGGGGTACCACCAGTCCTCCAGTACGGGGCCCAGGCCAGCAAGGGGGCCCAGGAAGATGGGTGAATCGGATGTGGGTAGGGAGGGTGAACGGCATGGTGGGGGGGCAATTACTGGACAGATCCCCTGTATGGTTCGCTCTGTGACAGCTGAAAGCTGTCTTCTTCTCCTCTCTCTCCTACTGGCTTTTAGCTGCTGCAGAGTAATTGCGGTATATATACTGGGATTTTTTTTTCCTTCTTACTAGTAATAGTGGCGATCAGCGCCTTATAGTGGGACTGTAGCGGACATTCTGACAATGGGGGGAACTGACTTGGTGTCACTGACATCCCCAGTGACACCAATACAGTGATCAGTGCTAATAAAAAGCACTGACACTGTGCTAATGGCACTGGGCAGGAAGGGGTTAACATGAGGGGCTATCAAAGGGTTAACTGCACTGTTTTACTATATGCTGTGCTTTACTATGTAAGCACATTGCTTTATATGGCTGTGCTATGCAGAGCTATACAAAGCAGTGTGCATGAGATGACAGCGGAGAGATCTGTATTGTTTATATACAGGTCTCTCCCGAGTCGGTGATACACGGCGATCGCAGGGTGGCGGCAGGGAATCACCGGCCGGGACCCAGTGATCGACAGGTGAGGTCGCCAAGAGTAATTGCCCCTCTGCCACACCCATCACCCTCCCAGTGCACCATTAGTTTCTACATGCTGCCCAGGCCCCCCTGTGTGCTCCTACCCCCAGAGTGCTTCCTGCTTCCCTCCTCTGCCTCCCACTGGCAGCTGGAAGCGCACAATAGGATCCTTCAGGATGGAGAATGGGGGAAAGGTCAGGTAAATATGTCACATTTACCAGCCCCTCTTTTCCTGAATGAACACAATAAATGATTGGTACTGATCACTCATTGTGTTCATAACTGAAGCGTAGTAAAGCGTTTTTTGGGGGGGGGGGGAGGAGGGTGGGCTGTCAGGTTAGCTGTATGGTGACCCGTTGTTTCTAACAGCAGCCCTGCATGCGTCGCTCACTGTACAGGCGCAGACAGGCAGGTAAGTAACTTTAATGCAGAAAAGACAAAGCATGTCTCTTCCTTATTAGAATTCCTGGCTGTTCACATTTTTTTTTTTTTTCTTCCTAAAGTTCCACTTTAAGAACATTCTGAACTAGAGAGCCGCACAACTCCCCTGCAGCCTCCCTGCTGTGTTCAAGTCAATATATTCTGCTTGAACTCTGAATTAAACATTTAGGATCTGTGGCGTGAATGTAAAATTTTATCAGGAAGATGAATGAAAGGGTGATCACCTATTGTATCTCCCAGATACTCTAATGGTACCATATTAGTTACTTGTCTCCACCCTCTACCATAAATTATTTCGTAAAAGACTGTTTTTATAACACCAAGTAAAGGTGTCCCCACAATGTGCACTTACCTGGCTCGGTGCCCGCGCTGTTGAACTCCGCTGGATTGAGGAGAGAAGCTTGCGTCCAGATTTCTGCATTTGATGCTTCCGGATGTGCTGAATGCTGCTGACCTCCACTGTGCTTTGTGGTCACCTCTGCTGGCCCCCTTCATCACTACAGGGTAATGAACCGCAAAACACAGCAGGAGACACTGGCATGCCACGTTCTTGGAAGGGTGCCCGATTCTGGAGATCTTTTAACCACTTTCCGTCTGGCCGTACGGGTGGCACGGTGGCAGTGCAGGGTCAGGTGGCGGTTTATAAACCGCCTGCTTGTGCGCGCTCCCTGGGAGCGCGCAGCACCCCGATCCGGTGCCCGCTGTGTCCTCCGGACACAGTGCAACACAGATCGTCGGATGGGACCTCTGTGCGAGGTCCCGATCATGTGATCACTGATTGGCCAATCAGTGATCACATGCAGAGTAGTAAGCAAGATGTCACTTCTGACCTCATTGCTTACTACGTGTGAAATCTGTGAATGATCACAGAGGTCACATGGTACAAGGCTATTCACAACAGGCTTGTACCATGTGACAAGCTGTGACCAATCACAGCTCACACAATAGTTCTCAATGGCTGCAAGAATGCAGCTAGAGAGAAAGAAAAATTATTGCTTTTACAGCCTTTATGGGTGTAAAAGCAATCAGTGTAAAAAAAAAAAGAAAAATCTTCATCACCCCCCACAAGTAGTACAGTGTCATCATGGTGACATTGTACTGCTAGGGTGACAGTATGTAAAAAAAAAAAAACATAAATAATAATAGAAAAAAGTCATCACCCCCCCCCACAAGTCATTATGGTGACACGTGACTACTAGGGTGACAGTATGTAAAATAAATTTAAAAAAATAAAAATGTAAAAAAAAAAGTTTAAAAATTATAATTTTTGGTTATAAACTAATTTTGTTTTTTTTTTTTTTAACTAAAAAGATAACGGAATAAACTTTGGCCAAGATTTATGATGAAATACTGTTTATTTGCAAAATTTTTATAAGAAAAAACACTTTTTTTCAAAATTTTTGGACTTTTTCATTTACATAGCAAAAAAAATTAAAATCCCAGTGGTGAATAAAAAAATTCATATGGGTACAGTGTTGCATGACCACGCAATTGTCATTCAAAGTGTGATAGCACTGAAAGCTGAAAATTGGCCTGGGCAGGAAGGGGGTGAAAGTGTCTGGACTGGAAGTGGTTAACAAGAATGATCCCTTCAACCCAGCGGCAGGCTGCCCTTTCAGACATCCTTCTGAAAATGCAAGATGCCTGGCTGTTGTTCTGACCCTTTAGATCCAATACTTTCTGGATACTTATGCATGCAGGAAATTTTACAGTAGGATCTGATGTTCTTGCATGCTTCTTCCACGTCCGTAATTCAAAGTATGAAAGCCATGTTCTGAAGGAGCAGACAGCAATGTCTACCCGTGATGAGTTTCTGCATCACAATTGGAATATAGGCCTTGGCATGTACACAGGAAGCATGGCCTACCAGATCAGCACTTCAGTTTTTTTGTTTCGGCATAGCTGTAGTTTACCAATTACTGTTGATCTGAAAACCCTTGCTTGTGATGCAGGCAGTGGCGGACTGACCATTCGAGCACTCGGGCACTGCCTTAGGGCCGGGGGTCAGTAGGGGAGCCCTTGAAATGCCCCTGGTACCTTTTTTATAGGCTTTTCTGGGTGTGCTTTGAGTGTGGGCAAGGACACGGGCCCCATGATCCCCTATTCCCCGGGGGCCCCATGAGTTGTCAGTCCGCCCCTGGATGCAGGACAGCATTTTTCTGAACACTCTCAGCAGACAATTTGCTATCTTTCACATACAAAAAAAACTTTAAGGATGTGTCTTCTGACTCATGGGTTCAAAGCCTTTTTGAAAGTAAAGGGAGAAGGTTGCACAGCATAGGATTTAGGAAGAGCACCAGTGACCCTGTGAGGTGCACTCTGGATTCCTGCTGCAGTGAAATACAGAAATCTCAAACTAAAATACAGGTGTACCTCAGTTTACGAACGCCTCGGTTAACGCAATTTTTGGTTTACGAATAAAAATAATGCCTTGGTTTACAGATTTATTTTCGCAATACGAACAGATTAATTGGTTTTCAATGCATTTACGAATTAATTTTTAATCATGTCCCTGTACAGTATTTATGCCTTTAAAGTGCACTTTATAAAGAGCTTTGAACAGATAAAAGACTTTTTTTTTTTTTTTTTAACTTTTTTCTGATCTCCGGAATGGATTAATTGGTTTTCAATGCATTTACGAATTAATTTTTAATCATGTCCCTGTACAGTATTTATGCCTTTAAAGTGCACTTTATAAAGAGCTTTGAACAGATAAAAGACTTTTTTTTTTTTTTTTTTTAACTTTTTTCTGATCTCCGGAATGGATTAATTGGTTTTCAATGCATTTACGAATTAATTTTTAATCATGTCCCTGTACAGTATTTATGCCTTTAAAGTGCACTTTATAAAGAGCTTTGAACAGATAAAAGACTTTTTTTTTTTTTTTTTTTTTTTTTTTTACTTCTGGAACGGATTAATTGGTTTTCAATGCATTCCTATGGGAAACCGCATTTCGGTTTACAAATTTTTCACAATACGAAAAGTCCAGCAGAACGCATTAAATTCGTAAACCGAGGTACGCCTGTAATAGAATTAAGCATTTGACTTTAGCTGAGCTACAGCACTTGCTTAAAGTGGTAGTAAACTGCCAAAAAAAAAAAAATTTCCCATGCAAAATAATGTCATAATGTACTACTATGCATCATATACTAGCATATTATGAAAGGCGTACCTTAGAACGAAGCCCTCCAGCGGTGCGCTGTCACCGCTGACAGCTGCCATCTTCACCCGGACTTCCTTCCAGGTTCTCAGGCTGTGGCTGCTTGGATGACCAAGCCACGATGACGTCACTCCTACGCATGCAGGCAGAAGTCACGGCCACGGCACAGAGCTCTGAAGGAGTGGCCTAGGGTATGCCGTTCCTTTAGAGCGTATGTGACGTCATCGGCTGCGGGGACACTGAATATCTCCTAAATGGTGCACATTTAGGAGATCTTCCTTGTACCTAGAGGTAGGCTTTATTATAAGCTCACCTGTAGGTACAAGTGTCCAGTGGGAGGTTACTTCCACTTTAATGGTATCAATACCTCATGGCAGCACAGTGGCAAAGTGGTTAGTATTTCCACCTAGTGGCACTAGGGTCGTTGGTTCGAATCCCAACCACGGCACTGCCTGACTGGAGTTTGCATGTTCTCCCTGTGCCTGCGTGGATTTTCTCGGGGGAAATCTGGATTCCTTCCACACTCCAAAGACATGCTGGTAAGTTAATTGGCCCTAGTACGTGTATGTATGAATGTGAGTTAGGGAAATTAGAGGTGTAAACTGCTTGAGAGCAGGGACTGAAGCGCTGAGTAAATTGATGCCGCTATACAAATGCCCATAATAAATAAAATAAGTCAATCAGTATATCAATGTATTGCTTTCACTTGTTTGGAATCCCTCTTCTCTAAAGTATTAATGTGTCAAGCATTTATAACTTTATATTGATAGGTTCTTTTCTTTCCTTAGTTATGCTCCTTGGTGTTACCATCCTCAGGAAGAAGTATCCCCTGACCAAGTACCTGTGTGTCCTCCTCATTGTAGCAGGCGTAGCCCTGTTCATGTATAAACCCAAGAATTCCGGCCCCTCTGACCACGTGTTTGGCTATGGAGAATTATTACTGGTAAGGATTGGATTGCAGATTCCAAAGGTTGTTTCAAAGGACCTCTAAGAAAAATATGAATATTTCCCAAAAATATATATATAAAAAAAAAAAACATACTGATGTACAGCGCTTGCTTAACCACTTCCTGTCCAGCCCATGTATATAAACGGTCAGACGGGAGCAGCGCAGGGGCAGGTTGCCGTTCATAAACCGTGCCTGCCATTTTAGCCTGTGCGTGCTCCCAGGGAACACCGATCGCTGTACGGGACCTCTGTGTGAGGTCCCGATCATGTGATCACTGATTGGCCAATCACTGGTCACATGCAGAGTAGTAAGCAAGATGTCACTTCTGACATCATTGCTTACTACCTGTGAAATCTGTGAATGAACACAAGGTACAAAGCTATTCACAACAGCCTTGTACCATGTGGCAAGCTGTGACCAATTACAGCTCTCACAGTATTTCTCAATGGCTGCAAGAATGCAGCCAGAGAGAGAGAAATGATTGCTTTCACAGCCTTTATGGGTGTAAAAGCAATCAGTGTAAAAAAAAAAAAAATCTTCATCACCCCCCGCAAGTAGTACACTGTCACTATGGTGACACTGTACTGCTAGGGTGACAATATGTTTAAAAAAAAAAAAAAATATAAAAAAATAAAATAAAAATGTAAAAAAAATAATTTTTGGTTATAAACTAATTTGGGTTATTTTTTTTTACTAAAAAGATAGCTGAATACATTTTGGCCAAGATTTATGAAGAAAGAGATTATTTATTTGCAAAATTTTATAAGAAAACACTTTTTTTCAAAATTTTTGGACTTTTTCATTTATATAGCAAAACAAAAATAAAAAATTCCCAGTGGTGAATAAATACCACCAAAATAAAGTTTTATCTGTCTAAAAAAAAAAAAAAAAAAGTAAAACAATTCATATGGGTACAGTGTTGCATGACTGCGCAATTGTCATTCAAAGTGTGACAGCGCTGAAAATTGGCCTGGACAGGAAGGGGGTAAAAGTGTCCGGACTGGAAGTGGTTAAAACTACAAATCTACATTTTTGGAATGCAATATGAAAATTTCCCAAAAATATATATAAAAAAAAAAAAAAAACATACTGATGATCAGTGAACATCTAGCAGCTAAATTAGGAATGTGCAAAAAAAATTGCCCCAAGCAAAAAAAAGCCAAACTTTTAAATAGGTTTGCTGATAAAACAACAATATAAATATTCACCTACAGAATATATAAAAGCTAAAGAAAAAAAAATCCTAGAAGGACCCATTGCCCATCAAAACAACCCATAAAGGTTGTAAAAGCAATCATTTCTCCTTCTCTCTGGCTGCATTCTTGCAGCCGTTGACAACTACTGTGTGAGCTGTGATTGGTCACAGCTTGTCACATGGTACAAGGCTATTGTGAATAGCCCTGTACCATGTGACCTCTGTGATCATTCACAGATTTTACACTTAGTAAGCAATGATGTCACAAGTGACATCTTGCTTACTACTTTGCATGTGATCACTGATTCAGTGATCAGTGATCCCATGATCGGGACCTCGTACAGAGGTCCCGTACGACGATCGGTGTTCCACTGTGTCCAAAGGACACAGCGGGCACCGGATCATGGTGCTGCGCGCTCCCAGGGAACGCGCACAAGCAGGGGCGGGGAGGCCGTTTATAGACGGCCACCCGACCCTGCACTGCCAGCGTCTGGCCGTTTATATACAACGGCTGGACGGGAAGTGGTTAAATGACGGTGACTGATTCACCACCAGTGAATGTTTGGTAAAATGTACACTCCCTATATGCCTCTAAATCTCGGTCTTCTGTTCTGTCAGCTGCTGTCTCTGACTCTGGACGGTCTTACAGGAGTGTCTCAGGATCACATGCGAGCGCATTTTCAGACCAGCTCCAACCCAATGATGCTTCATATTAACCTCTGGTCAAGCCTTTTTCTAGGAGCAGGTAAAAAAATGTTTTTCCATTTTTTTTTTTTTATCCACTTAACACAGCCCACCCAATTGTTCCACATTGCGCTCGGTACATTTTGTACTATTGCACTTAGCTAAGCTAATGGAAGCATTTTGTTCTCAAAGAAAGGTTCCATTAAAGCAGTGTGTTTCTCAACTTTTTTCCAGTCAAGGCGCCCTTGAAAAGAATTTTCAGTCTCCAGGCACTCCAGTTTAAAGCTTGGTTCACATTACTGTGTGTCGTGGTAAACACAAAAATTGACAAACGCACTGCTCTTTGGTAGACGTGCAGGGGTGCTGCTGATTCCTAATGGTACGCCATGTACTGGGACTCTGAATGTGAGTCACAGATGGTGATGGTGCCGCTTGTTTTTTTAAATAAAATGTTGGAGACCTCTTTCCCTGCGTTTTCTATGGGTAGGGCAGCTCATTGAAAGGATTGGGCTGCCCTACACGTAGCATGCAGCTGCACAGATGTGAGCCAAGGTCTCATTTACATGTGAGTTTGGGGGGGGGTAGTATAACCATGTGGTTGAGCCATTTTGGCCACCCCCAACTGCTCCCCACTTTTAGCTGCATTGGCAACAGCTGGGGTAGTACACATGCTCTGGTTGTGGCTGGAAATATATCCCCCAGGTGAATGAGCTGCCCCACCACTGTGTGCATTGCATGTGCTTGCGGCATGGGAATACTGCATGTAGGGGGTAAAACAGGTGACATATGACCTCTAAACTGCCTGCCACATGTCTATAAAGGGAATCAGAGCATGAACCGCTTTTCACACACACTCCTATACACACATTCATTCATACACACATTCATTCATACACACATTCATTCATACATACACACACACACCTACCTATAAACACATTCATACACACAACACACACACCTACCTATGAACACATTCATACACCCCCCCCCCCCCACCTATAACACACATTCATACACACAACACACCACACCTATAAACACATTCATACACACACACACCCTACCTATAAACACATTCATACACACACACACAACCTATAAACACATTCATACACACACACACACACCCACCTACCTATAAACACATTCATACACACACACACACACACACCTACCTATAAACACATTCATACACACACACACACACACACACACACCTACCTATAAACACATTCATACACACACACACACACACACCTACCTATAAACACATTCATACACACACACACACCTACCTATAAACACATTCATACACACACACACACACACACACCTACTAAACACATTCATACACACACACACACACACACACACACCTACCTATAAACACATTCATACACACACACCTACCTATAAACACATTCATACACACACACACACACACCTACCTTTAAAACACATTCATACATATACATAAAGAAACACACACAGACCTACTTATAAACACATTCATACACACACCTATAAAAACACATTCATACATATAAGGACACACACACCTACCTTTAAAACACATTCATACACACACACACACACACACACTACCTATAAACACATTCATACATATACATAAAGAAACACACACTGACCTACTTATAAACACATTCATATACACACACATATAAACACATTCATACATATAAGGACACACACAACAAACACACACACACCTATAAACACACACACACCTATAAACACATTCATGCACGCCCTAAAGGGACTGTGGATGGTTTGGTGTATATAAAAAAAATTATATATATTTTACTACTTTTCAGCCAGCCAACGGAAGGCTTGAGGCTACAAGTAGTAAAAATGTAAATATTTATATCAAATGTATCTATTTCTTTTTCAGTCCATTGAGGACTGCTGCAGGTTTGGAAACTGGCAAACAGAAAAATTCTAAGCCAACTTCAGTGTAACCCCTTCTCTGCCTAGCATTCCTGATTTTCTCGTGTGTGTTTTTTTTTTTTTCCTGTCACTCTAATTAAGATTCATCACTGCATTTCTGCTTGAGCTGGTCTCTATATTCCAGGTTAGCAGCTATCGGGATTAGCACTTCCTCAGCCTAGCTTTGGAGGTCATATCTGGACCCTGTTGGACTGGGACTAGTCTGCATGTGTTCTACATTGTAGTGCATTCCACCCAAGTGTACTGTCTTCGTTAAAGCAAACTTCACCTTAAAGGGGAAGTTTCTGCTTTACGTCCTCCTCCCCTCCTCTACCACTTTTGGTACATTAAAACATTTTTGGGGGTGGAGTGGGTACCTAGTTTTGCCTAGACCAGGGGTCAGCAACCTGCAAGCTCTCTAGCTGTTGTGGAACTACATTTCCCATGAGGCATTGCAAAGATTACAAAACTGACAGTTACAGCTATGACTTGCAGAGGCATGATGGAACCTGTAGTCCTGTGGCTCTCAGGTTGCCTACCCCTGGCCTAGACAATCTGAGCAGACGTTCAGCCCCCGTGGACGCGAAGAACAGGCCCAGGTGAGGACAGGGCTGGATCCCTGGACAGGTAAGTGTCCTTTTTATTAAAAGTCAGCAGGCACACTATTTGTACTTGCTTTCTATATTTTTGTGGGGTACTGAAGATGCTCTTTAACCACAGAGCACTTTCCAAGTCCAGAGCCATGGTACAGGCCGAGGTGTTCCTGTCTCTAAAAGCTTATTTTGTGAGTAAAGCCGTTTGTTCTGAAGCTCAGGCAGCTACTCACTGTTGTCACCATTAACCACTTCAAGTCCGGACACTTTCACCCCCTTCCAGTCCAGGCCAATTTTCAGCTTTCAGTGCTATCACACTTTGAATGACAATTGCGCGGTCATGCAACACTGTACCCATATGAATTTTATGAAGTGTTTTTCATATAAAATTTTGCAAATAAATATTTCATCATAAATCTTGGAGAAAATTTATTCTATCTTTTTAGTAAAAAAAAAAAATAACCCAAATTAGTTTATAACCAAAAATTTATTTTTTACATTTTTATTTTTTTTATATATATTTTTTTTGTTTTTTTACATACTGTCACCCTAGCAGTACAGTGTCACCATGGTGACACTGTACTACTTGTGGGGGGTGATGAAGATTTTTTTTTTTTACACTGATTGCTTTTACACCCATAAAGGTTGTAAAAGCAATCATTTCTCTGTCTTTCTGGCTGCATTCTTGCAGCCATTGAGAAATACTGTGAGAGCTGTGATTGGTCACAGCTTGTCAGGTGGTACAAGGCTGTTGTGAATAGCTTTGTACCTTGTGATCATTCACAGATTTCACACGTAGTAAGCAATGATGTCAGAAGTGACATCTTGCTTACTACTCTGCATGTGATCACTGATTGGCCAATTAGTGATCACATGATCGGGACCTCACACAGAGGTCCCGTACAGCGATCGGTGTTCCCTGGGAGCACGCACAGGCTAAAATGGCGGGCGCTGTTTATGAACGGCAACCCGCTCCTGTGCTTCTCCCGTCTGACCGTTTATACACATGGGCTGGTCATTCACTGATTTCACTAGTAGTAAGTAATGATGTCAGAAGTGACATCTTGCTTACTACTCTTCATGTGATCACTGATTGGCCAATCAGTGATCACATGATCGGGACCTCGCACAGAGGTCCCTTACGATGATTGGTGTTCCACTGTGTCCAGAGGACACAGCAGGCACCGGATCGCGGTGCTGCGTGCTCCCAGGGAGCACGTACAAGCAGGGGGCGGGGAGGCCGTCTATAAACAGCCACCTGACCCTGCACTGCCACCGTCCGGCCGTTTATACTGTGGTAAGGGTTAAGGATGAGGGACCCAAACAATGACATGATCTGCAGGGTGGAGCGATGTGCACTTCATGCTTTCTTTCCCTCCATTCAGTCTGGATGAAGCACCATCCCACTGCTGCTCCTGCTTGTGATCCACCACGTGTACTGCTTGCTTTTAAAAATGATATTTAATTATGTAAGAATACAGAACTGCATTAATCTGTATCTTTTACATCTGCCTGGAGGTGAAGTTTAGTTGTAAAGTTAAGGCGTATACAAATAACTTGAGAATATCACATATCTGTTTTTTAAATTTGTAGATTTTGAAAAGAATAAAAATAAATATAACCAGGGGCGGACTGACAACTCATGGGGGCCCCCAGGCAAAAAGGGAATCATGGGGCCCCTGTGTCCTTGCCCAAACTCAAAAAAGCCTATGAAAAAGGTACCAGGGGCATCTCATGGGGCCCCCTACTGACCCCAGGCCCTCGGGCAGTGCCCCAGTTTCCAAATGGTCAGTCCGCCCCAGATGATAACCCAACTTTAAACTACTATGTAAATTTGAATTTAAGTCTCCCTTTGTGCAACATCCTTTGTGCATGTTTGAATGAGGATAGAGCTTACCTTCCAGGATGTAACAAGAGCTGTTCAATATCCGCAGCGCCATCCGTCCTCTTGATGAAAGGGAGATCATAGATGTCAGAATAGCAGAGAGGGAAATGCCCAAAGTGTGTGCACAGAGAGCCCAAAGTGTGTGCACAGAGAGCCCAAAGTGTGTGCACAGAGAGCCCAAAGTGTGTGCACCGAGAGCCCAAAGTGTGTGCACCGAGAGCCCAAAGTGTGTGCACCGAGAGCCCAAAGTGTGTGCACCGAGAGCCCAAAGTGTGTGCACCGAGAGCCCAAAGTGTGTGCACCGAGAGCCCAAAGTGTGTGCACCGAGAGCCCAAAGTGTGTGCACCGAGAGCCCAAAGTGTGTGCACCGAGAGCCCAAAGTGTGTGTGCACCGAGAGCCCAAAGTGTGTGCACCGAGAGCCCAAAGTGTGTGCACCGAGAGCCCAAAGTGTGTGCACCGAGAGCCCAAAGTGTGTGCACCGAGAGCCCAAAGTGTGTGCACCGAGAGCCCAAAGTGTGTGCACCGAGAGCCCAAAGTGTGCGCACCGAGAGCCCAAAGTGTGCGCACCGAGAGCCCAAAGTGTGCGCACCGAGAGCCCAAAGTGTGCGCACCGAGAGCCCAAAGTCCACATG